TTTAACACAACAGCAAATGTACAAGGTTTTGTCATCCCCATGATGATGACAAAACCTTGTCGAAACGTTGTACATTTTCTGTTGTGTTAAACTTATATTAAAGTTTTTCTTCATTACCCATTCAAGCCATCTCCAACCATTATTAGTCTCAAAGTGCGTTCCTCGTCATCGAATTTGAACAACACACATCGTAAAATAATTTTAAATCTTTCCTCCTTTTAACTCTGACATTTTCCTGCACTCTAAGAAGACCCAATTGCCTCTAGGTTCAGATGTCAGTTTTAAATATGTAATATGAAACCATTTGATTGTACAGTTCACAATGTCTCACCAACCACTTTAGAAACATTAACATAATTCTGACTGACTCGTAGGTTCTTTGATGAATGGTGATCACCTATGGTAATCTAGAGAAACATTGTCAAACTGATTCTGGCAAAACTGCATTATGGATCTTTTCACGGGTTTTTCATCAACATTCACTACCAAGTAAAACAGCCGATCTGTAGGGGAACAAGAGTTTGAATCTTTGAAGGAAAGGATAGGAAATTTTTTTTCGAGTAGAATATATATATTTCACATAGGGCACCATCAATGATCTGTATGGTCTTGTTTGTTTGTAAACGTTTTTTGTCCACATAACAAAATACATTCTACTACACCTAACTGAGCTTCAATCTGATAGCAATAAGTTGATTTTTAAACTCTGCATCATGTAATGTTTCAAAACAAAACTCTTGATCCACAACTTCTTTAATAGTAGATTTTCATGAACAAAAAGGACATTTAATTTCTAAATACCCTGTCCCACAACCATCACATCTGGCGAAGAAGCTATGTATGAAATGTCTGTTCTAACTTAGAGATCACAGTCAAGTACTCAAACGTTTGTAAACCCATTCTGCTTCATTAGTTTTAAATGTCATCACTCAAATTTAGGGAAGAACTACAATGGCCAGTAACACAAACTGCTATTTAGGGAAGAACTACAAAGGCCAGTAACACAAACTGCTATTTAGGGAAGAACTACAATGGCCAGTAACACAAACTGCTATTTAGGGAAGAACTACAAAGGCCAGTAACACAAACTGCTATTTAGGGAAGAACTACAATGGCCAGTAACACAAACTGCTATTTAGGGAAGAACTACAAAGGCCAGTAACACAAACTGCTTCTACTTTAGATGCTGTAATACTCTGAGCACTGAAAAGTTCATTTTCATTATTTACTTCACCAAAAACGTGACAATATTGTTCTTGTGTTAAAAATGACACAGTGATTTGCGTATGGAGCGATTAATGACAGTAAAATCAGTGAAACTCAACTCTGAAAAGAGATGACTGCATACACTATCCATTGTTGGTGATACCTTCTCTATTTACAACCTGTTGAGATAACAAGTGATGAATTTTATAGAATATTTAGATTCAGTCTATTTTTCTTGTTTTTTTTTGCAGACATAGAATTAATATCTGCAATCGGAAAATAACCTCACATTTATTTGGGTATGTAACTGTGAATCTCTAATTCAGACAGTAACTTCCGCCGCAAATAACAATGTCGTGTGCAAGCTTCTCCGAGACCTCCGACACAAGTACAACGAGCAGCTAGAATACATCTATCATTTCTGCGTATGACCTAAGGTTTGAGAGGTTTCTCGTGTATTTATTATGAATATCAAACCTGAAATATAAGTATGGTAAAAATGATGACTTTCTTAGTTTCAAATTATTAGTATTTGAAATACTATAACATGTCAGTATTATTACAAAAATGTTACACTA